CTGTCACCTCCTCAATAGTACATTGGGGCAGACTCAGGTGGCCAGAACCCTCCATCTGGGTCTGACCACTTCCTGCTACCAGAGTGCTCAGCCAGGGCCAGTTGACCCTTCACCCTTTCCAATATAAACCTCCGACCTGAAAGAGAAACTGTCTAGGCAACAAGGCATAACCTTGAACCTAGACTGCTACTCCCTTTACTTACACCAACTGCTATTGGATATCTGACAGATTATCTGGATACCTGACCTGGCTTGCTCACTGACCCCAAGTGTGGCCTGACTCTTTGATCCCCTGATCCAACTCGTTTGATCTCTTAGACACCTGACCTGGCCTCCTGACCCCATGCTCTGCCTACCCCTCTGGATCTCTGACTTCATTCCCCAGACAGATTTCCTGCCTGGCTACCCTACAGTTGGATTCTGCACGCTCCCTTCAGATATTGGCTGCCTCTTCCAAGTCTGGATGACCCCCAGACCAGGCCACACATTCCCATATGTTTTATGATATAGTTTTGTACAACATTCCATAGATGCACTGTATTAAAATTAAGTTCTTTGGTCCCATTCAGGTGCCTGAAACCAAAGACACTATCCTTCCCTTCCTTTTAATCTTCTACATTTCACTCTCCATCCTCTGTTCTGATCAAAAAGACATCTTGTAGAAAAAAACCCCAGTATGGAATCATGTCACTGAGGACTATTATGACCAAATTCTATTCCACCTATTGGGCAGAGCTAAGGGGACTTTGGCACCTAAGAATTAACCTTTTTAACCCTATTCAATTCAATAACATGCCTTTATCTTTCCTTTCAGACTGAGTCAAGAAAAGCAGCAAGGAAGGGGAAGACTCCCTCACCTTTTGCATTAACTGTTTTTCAGGGACTTAAGCATATGGGCCCTTAAGTTCATTTACATGTCTAATGGGTGGATTAGTATCTGGCCTTAATGTAATATTTTGTATATAATTTCCTAGTCTTTTTTTAAAGTAAATTCCATCATTTGGTTCATATTGACAATACCTAGATCAGCAACAAGGTTTGAGGCAAAGGCAATACAGCTTTTTATCAACTGTCCTAAAGGAACAGCAGCAGTAGGTTCCTATGTAAAAGCTTGTGCTCTCTCTATATAACTTATTTAGTTAGTCTATGCCAAGATGCAGATCTACACTGCCTTTCAACTGATTTCAGGTGAACAAGGCTAACTAGCTCTCTATGTGGATCAGCCATTCGTAGTAGGTGCAACATGCACTTTGCCAATAACTTATATAACTTTTAGCTAACGAAAGGACAGGGGCTGAGAATGGAGATTCATGTGTTCTATTCCAGCCTCCAGAGAGAAGTGTATTTTAGTGGATTCCCTCCAGACCAAATTTCAAACTCCAATCTCACTGAGGTATGAGGTAATGTTAGAGTGGTTACAGGAAAAAATACTGACAAAACTGCCAGTTTCTCCCTTACTTCTTCCTCAGAAACAGCAGTTTTGCTGAAACTTTAAACAAAAAAGTCTGCCTGAAGAGAAGGAAGCAGATTAAATTTGATCCTGAATGGCTTAAAATTGGAAAAAAATATAAATGTCAAGGGACTTAAAATGGAAAGTACTAAGTAACATAAGATAAATAGATGTGGCTAATAAAGACACTTTAATTATTCCATGTACAGACAAACTGCAACAGACAAATATTAGCTCATACAGGTGAATCTCCATCAGGGATGCAAAAATTAGCAACAGGCTAAAATATATAGTCAGAGCTGCAGAACACAAAGTTTCATAGGGTCAGAGGGAAGTCATCTGGCCATTTGTCATTCTTATCCTACAACTGCTTCTGATTTTTTTTTTTTTTTTGCGTCACAGCAGGATATTTTATATAACGTGTTGGCTGTTTTATGAACAGTGAGGAACCATACCAGTTATATAGGACATATATATTCATGTTACTCTCACCGCCTCTTTCCACTTTGTTTGCTTTCCTAGTACAAAGAGTTATTTGGAGCACAGCTGCATACCAGGAAGTTAACATTATATAGAGCTAGCAATCTGAAAAGTATCTTGCATAATGTAAACTCCCCAGAAAGCCAGAAGCTGTTGGAAGTTCTAATTCAGTTATGTGAAGATGTTACTTTTACTATCTCTTACATGAGTCATACAATATTACAGAGTCAGCTTTGTCTACGAACAGGAAAATCATGAGCACTGTCAGCTGCAAGGAAGATAACTCTCTATGTGTGATATTGTTGGGGAATACACAACCTAGTCAAAAAGATGTGCATTAAAACAAAGGCACGGCTTATAAAAATGTGTGATTCAGTTTCCAGCACAGGGCTCCTGACAAGGCTTGAGCACAATCCTGCAAGCAAATTCAGGTGTTTGTGCAAAGCTTCAGTGGGTGCTAGGTATACTTAAACAGAGCCAGAGGTAGCACTAGTTTTCTGGATATTGCCCCTTTGCTCAGGGTCATTCTGATCACTAGATTTGGAATCAGGAAGGAATTTTACCCCATCCTCAGATTGGCATGGATTGTGGGGTTTTTGCCTTCTTCTGTAATGGGGGGTCTGGCCCTCTGCTTGGGGACTCTTGAGCGTGTATTAACAACCTTTTATAGAAGCAGGACATTGGCTGCTATGGTTCATCCGCTTTACCTGTGGCAAGTTATGGTGTTGTGTGTTGTATCAAGGTTGATGGCAGCATTATGAAGAGTTTAGAGTATGGATTTTTATAGGATGGTCTGGATACGAATGATCCTGCCTCAGGCAAAGAGTTGTACTACATAACCTCTGGAGGTCCCTTCCAGCCCTTTCTCTACTAGGAAAATACACCACAGAGGGCTATATTACAGTTGAGTCTGCCACAGTTCATAGTCTGCTTAAAAGTAATGGATGCAACAAGTTTCAAGTAAAGTTCTTTATTAAAGGGAGAAAGCAAGAAAAGTGCTGGCTGTACAGGTAGATCTTGTTCTAACAGGGGTGGCATGGAACACAAGCAAAACAAGCGACTAACTTAAACCCTGGCAGCTACCCCCAGTCCTACAGCTCAGAGGCCAGCCTTAAGTTCTTTTCTGGCACTGAGAATACCTTAATACCCTTGAGTCTACCCAACAGTATGAAAGAGGAGACAACTTGAGGCCAGGTTTTTCTCCTTTCCAGCCATATGGCTCTGCTCAAAGCCCCACAACTTGTAAGGCCATCTCTGGTATTTGAGATACTAGATCTCCATGCTTCCTGCACATGAATGGATTTGGAACATAGCAACCTTTAAATTCTTGGCCAAAAAAGTACCTTAGTAATGAGTGATTCTGAATATAAAAGCCAGAAAATGCTAAAATGATCTTTTCTTTTTCATAGAAATATAGATACAAATACATTGTTGGCACATTTGAACTCTGCAGAGTAGACAGCTGAATGGGAATCTATTGAAACTACTGCTTTTTGACAAATAGATTAGAGTAATTTCTAAAAATATTTACTTAAAAAGGAAACACTAGTGCCAAGTTGACTTAAAAGCACCAGTAACAGCAATACAATGCGAACTGCGTAGACTGAAATTGTAAAATACACACTTTGTTTTTAAAGACACCAAAGCAATTATTTAATGCAACACAAAAACCAATAATAAAATATTCCCAAATAATTCTTTGAGGTGTGTGAGCAAGGGTATCTAACATGGCTATAGTATTTAGCACAGATTAACCAAATCTAGGTGTATATGACAATACTGAATGTCAGAGATAGTGGGCACACACACACACACTCCCCCCCCCAAATGCCTGCTCTGACATGTGCTAATTAGCACACATTGGAGCAGATTTGATTAATTGATTAATTGAGTCTGCTGCAGCTAAGTAGCATACTCCAGCAGCCTTGGTGCTAATCAGCATGTGCCAGCAGCTTTGCTGTCATGTGTATTTAGTTTCCCTGCATTTCAAAATGGTGGCGGGGGGGCTTTAATGAAAGCTTGTTCCATGAGCTTTAAAGCACACCTACTGTCATTTTGAAGTGTGGGATGCTGCATACATGAGATGCTGTAAGCAGCCACTTTGATTAAAGCGCTAAGAGCCGCTTTAATTAAAGCGCTACCCCTTCCCTCTCTCCATAGAGCACGTATAAAGATGCCCAGTGGTTTGAAACTGCATGCTGAGAATTTCAAGCAATTACTCCTGAAATCTCTCCCTATCTTGTTCCTTCACATGTAGTCCAAACAAGCTGAAGTGACCCAGTACTCCAAAATTTCTTCTCACAAAATGTCCAACAGAAAGTCTAGGATTTTGGACCTCACAACCTGCAGGCTCCTGAGATCAGCCAGAAAGCAGAGCCAGCCTGTGCCTCCTGGCTCTCCCTTGCTCAATGGCTTTCTTCTCAGCCTAGAAAGCCAAGCTCCATAGGGGACTGCCATCAACTGCCCCTTTTACACTCTGTTGGTGGCAAAGTGCAGGTCCCTCCCTGAAAACTGAAGACAGACCTATGCAAAAGCTAACTCAGATATTCTGTCTGCATGGCTTTTGCAAAAGGCTCCAGACTGGTTTCCAGTGTGGAACAGCAGCATGTGTAAATGTTCATCTCTGTCTCATAGCCAATCTCCTTGCTGCATTCAGACAGCCTGAGAGAAAGCTTGCTTGAAGCCAGGTGGATTTATCAAATTACAGTGGTGCCAAATAAAGCAAAGAGCTCATTTGACAGATTTAGTTCAATCCAGGTAAGAACAAGGGACTGTTTCATATCAATTGTGGTTGTCATGAAAAAGGTAGTGTTTCCCCCTCAAATACGACACAGCTCAGGTAACATGGTATTTCCTCATGTTTAAGTATTGAGACATACTGGGAGTGCCAATATGTGCATTTACACTGGCTTAAATTTATTGCATAGTAAATTATCGCGCAGTAAGTTGGAACAGGCCAGCATCTACACATGCAGGTGTTAAAGCACATTAATGATGTGTGTGGACTGACTTAGGACTAACTTTCAACCCAATCATTTGTAGAGATGATTCTTTTCAGGACTCTGACTTTTCCTTCTGAATTTTAATTTCTCCTCTTCTTTCCTAGAGACCCTTGCTCCACAAAATACTACAGTTCCATTTAAACACTCTATATTTACTAAACCCCCCCCTGCAACTCAGTGGTATCTGAAATAATACCCGTGAATATTTACTGCGCAGAAAGGGCATGCATCTACACATGAATGCCTGTACTGTGCAGTAAATATGGCAACTTAAGCGGACTTGAGCGTAAGTTTGATACCTGCATCATTGATACCTAACTTTAGTCCCAAGTCAGCCCACAGACATAGTGTTAGTGCATAGCAAGGAATAATCAACATGTGCATTATTGCACAATAACTAACTGGGCATAAATTTGATACCTGCATGATGCAGGTAGCAAACTCATACTCAAGTCAGTATAAGTCACTATATTTACTGCAGTATGTTCTGGAGAAAGGGTCTCTAGGAAAGAAGGGGAGAAATTAAAATTCAGAAGGAAAAGTCAGAGTCCTGAAAAGAACCATCTCTACAAATGACTGGGTTGAACAAAGAGACATTGGTCACATAAGGCATAATACACATTCAAAAGAAAACTGTAAATGAGACTATGACACCTTTGAAGAATGGGCATAAGCAGCTGTTGCAAGCATCAAGGCCTTTGCTATTGGAACAGTACAATACAAATGCATGCTACTTAAAAAATTGTGCGCTTATAAGAATTTGCAAACAGCAGAAATCTCAGCAGGTTGTTGGGCCAAAGTACCTGGAAAAGATTATAAAGCAAATGTAATATCTGCTTATTATTTTGAAAGTAAATGTTAAATGACAAGCTTATCAATGTCTTTGAACTGTGCAATAAGACTGAAGTCTCATATCTTCAATATACTGTTGTATATTTAGTGTCATATCCTGCAAACAGCCAAGTTCCTTCTACTCTACTTATAGTTTAAATGAGTTGAGACTGACCAGCACTTCTCAAGATTTGAATCCCAGGTGAACAAAGGGAAGTTAACATTAAAATATGGTGCATCTTCATGAGTAAAGTATTTGTAAATGATTCAGTAGAGGCAGAGAGGCTCTTTATCACAGCAACTGTTCTCAAATAATCCCACTGTTCAGCATACAAGATGTTTAATTTTCTGACTGCTTGAGCAAGCTACCCAACCACGTACTTTAAGAATTGACTTCAGTGGTGCTACTTAAAATTAAGCAGGAGCACAAGTGCCTCTCTGACACAGGAACTCAAGCAGCAACAGCCAATTCCAGCTTTTAAAAATGAGTAGCCCTTTGCCTTCAAATCTTGTGCCTATGCTGGCTAGAAGCCTACTGATTAAGCTTACAAACCTAGGCTTTCTCCAAACTATCTGCATATCTTCTTATTTCTCACCTATTTTATCAATAGTTAATCATTTGTCGAAGGGCATCATAGCATTTCCATTTGTCTGGGATGTAGAAAGGTTCAAAGATGTGTGGAAACGGAGTGTCGTAGCCACATACTCTTGAAATAGGAGCCTCGAGATTCAAGAAGCATTCCTCCTGTTAACAGACACACAGAACAAAGTTAGTAAGACCTTTATTTCAGAAGCCATGATTCACAAGTTGAGGTCTTGTGAGCTTTATAGACAGCCAGCCCTATAAGCTCCAGGCTTCTATTTATGCTACAGCACAGACGCAGCTCAGACAAGAGCAGTAAAAGCATTCCATTCCTCCTCAGAGGTCCATATTAAAACAACGAATTGTATTAATATTACAGTATTTTTATTTTCTACACGTATGATATGTTAAATTGCATTCAAGTTATATTTAGTACATCTGCTATGCATCCAAACAAATGTTGCCAAAAAGCAGACACAGTGTAGGAACAAAGAAGTAACAGTTAGTATTTCCTGGATTACCTTTAAACAAATAAATGAATCATATAATCTAAAAGTGAATATTATTTACTGTGAATGTTTTACAGAAAATAATTTCAGCCAAGTGTATTAGGGACTACTAAGCCAACCATGGCTTGTGGAACCAACAGATTTGCATGTCCTCAACATTGTTTGAAAGTCAAGTCCACAGACTGCAAAATAAAAATCATTTTTTTCTCATGAGAGGTCTACAGTTGGCAAGAACTGTGGGAGTCTCATAATCCAGGCCACCAGAAACCCAGTGTCAGAAGCATGCCATGCTAATCAGAGGGTGGACATGGAATATGTTTAAAATTTTAGCATTTTTAACAGCCAGCTGAACAAAGATGTTGGAAACTTCCCACCTGCTCAACCGTCAGGGTAAGCACAGAAACTGTGATAATCTGGAATAGGCGATATGACTAGTAAATGGATCAGATATTAGAGCTAATTATCACCTCTCAATTCTTTTTTCTTCATTGCCAGCATTTCTTTTGCAGTCATTCACTCCCTCTCCTGGCCAGGCAGGGAAAAGGGAAGAACAGACCCACAGACCAACCTTGTTTCCATGCAGAGGGAAGCACTGTAAAGGTCTCTCTCTCTTTGGCTAGGGACAGACATTCAAAAAGCCTGAGCCTGAATTGATTCAATCTCTGCAGGTTAGTCTAACCTGGTTAGGTTAAATCAGTTTGTAATTGTACAGACATCCCAGACATGCAGGCACATGCCTGCAGTGGCTCAGGCAAGAAGCCGGGGGGTGCTACAGCAGCCCTCCCTTCCCTTCTATAGTACTGAGCTGAGGGGAGGCGTGGCCAGGCCCCAGCAGGACGCTGTTTAGCCCAGCAGAGAATTGATGACAGTCTTTATCACCCCATATGCAGTGTTTATTACACCATTAAGAAAACAACAGAGATACATTACCAGCTACCTGTTGATTCTGCCTTTGTCACACCGCAGACTGGAGCCAGCATGTGTTCTGCTATCTAATACACAGATACCTCTCAGAAAGGCAGAGGAGAGGGGGGAATTCCTGCTTAGCAGGGAGTGGTGAAGGGGCAGGAGGGGGGAGCAGCTTGCAAGCCTCTACCAGAGTGGCAGCCAGGAAGCAGGGAGGCAGGGCCAGCTCTGCTATGGAGCAGAGAGCCCCACCCATTCTAGAGAGCATGCTGGGATGCTGTGAGTGGCTGGTTTAATTTAAACCAGCAAGGGGTCTGGGACAGACACTGCATGAATCGGTTTGACCCAAATGAGTTAAATCTGATACTACATTCAACCAAGTTTATCTCAAACCAGTTTCTGCCATTTTCAAACTAATTTATGTGCACTGAACATCTGTTCTGTTACAGGTTTAAACCAGTTTCTGAACTCTTAAATCGGTTTATGTGTAATGTCTGTCCCTAGCCTTCTTGTCTTTCTCCCTTAGACCACACTGATTAAGATGTCCTGGTCAAACTTCCCTTACCCTAAGCCTAGAAAAGGGGAAGAGGTATCAATCCCTAGAGCTCTCTTCTGCTAGACTCATATAAACAATTACTGCCAAACAGTTATTTCTCAGATTGCTTGATAGCTTTGAACGCAAAGATGCCATGTAACCTACTGTATGGCAGTCGGCCTTCCTGAGTTAAAATAGTACCACCCACACTGGAATATGAAGGTACAGGTAGGAGTCACTTCCAACACAAGTGAATTACAAGTGTCTTCAGCTATTACTGATGTGGAGTTGTACAATGGCAGTTCAAAGTAGTCAGATTTAGAAACTGCAGGAAATATATGTCACCCAGCCAAGTTTCTTTGCATTTCCTAGTGGCCAGTTCAACCTAGGAACTGTCCACATGTGGCACTAATTTTTTCTGGGGTCTGCTTTCAAGCTTTCTTGATCATTCTTATATGAGGACAGCGTTTTAAGAAAGCAGTAGAAAAGTCATATGAAACCTATGAGTTTCACATGGTAAATAACATACAATTTTGATATTACTAACTCCAGATTGGAATGTATCCCCTTGTTCCAGAAAATTTCACTGCTTTCCATACTGGTGTTTGTCTTAGCTGCCAGTTACAGTCATGCACATATGAATATCATATCCTGCTTCGTGATCCGTCTAAGTAACCTCACCCCTTGCTGCTTCAATTTCTTTTTATTATAATGTGTGTTTAAGTTTTTTAAGGTTTTAGGTTTCCACCCCCACTGCAAAGCAATGAAATATCAGGGAAAATATAAAATGGAAATTAGTGGAGAATGAAATCATTTATCTATCCATGGAGCTGATATAGAAATTTTCCCACTCCACCCCATCACTCTGACTGGTGACCTGATCAGATATCTTTATGGGAAGAGGAGAGCATACTCCTTGACCCTACACTGTGACCATCAAGACGACTGATGCTTTGGGACACACTAGGTGCATCTACATGTGCAAATAGCATGTAGCAATAAACTCTGGCACAGTTTCTGCCGGAGTTTATTTCTCCTGGGTGCAGTGTTTACATGTACATCCTGGACCACAGCATGTTGAGCCAGGAGTGGAACAGCCCCAGCTGACAGGGGTGTTGGGGAGTCAGCCTGCCAGCCCAGGGCTGCTCCACACCCAGCTCAACGTGCTATGGAGGGGCTGGCTGGGGCACAAGGGTGCTACAGGGTGGGGCTAGCCAGCAGGCAGCCCCTGCACTGTAGCACCCCCATGCCCCAGCTAGCCCCAGTCAACACCTACACATACATTGCAGCACACAACTCCTCCACTGTAAGACAGTACTTGTCCCAGACAGTGTTATTCTATAGCGGAGTTAATTAATTTACCCCACCCTATGTAAGTATGCATATGTAAGTGGTTATGCTTTACTGTGGATCTGACTAATTAGCTATGTAGTAAAGCACATGTGTAGATACACCCAGTAATACCTATTTAAAAATAGTTTCCATATGGGGGACATGTGGAGTTGCAGTATACTGACAAGAGGTGCTAGGTGCTAAGGATACATAGACCTACCATAGAAATCATAAACAAGTAAGGCTGGAAGGGACCTCCAAAAGTTATCTAGTGAGTTCAACCCCCTGCCTGAGGCAGGATCATCTGTATCCAAATCATCTTATACAAATCCATAATCTAAATTCATAAAACTGCTGTCAACTTTGACACGACATGTGACATAACACCCTAACCTGTCATAGATAGAGCAGAGGAACCATAGCAGCCAATGTCTTACTTCCATAAAAGGTTGTTAATATACACTCAAGAGACCCCAGGAAGAGGACCATGCCCCCATTACAGAAGGCAGCAAAAACCCCACAGTCCATACAAATCTGAGCATGGGGTAAAATTATTTCCTGATCCCAAACCTAGTGATTAGTCTGATCCTGAGCAGAGGGGCAAGACCCAGCTGAAAGGAAGCTACAGCTTTAACTCTCAGCAGAACCATTGGCAAATCCAATTCAAAATCCCTAGCCCTTGCTGTCGCTAACACCCAATGCCTCTGAGAATGGCTTAAAAACACCCTGACACATGTAGCAGAAAGTGGGGGAGTTATGCACTGTTTTCCAGGAAGGCATATACAGCATAAAGTGAAGGAAACCTGTACAAAATGTCAAAACATTATGATGTGGTGTGGTTTTTCTGAGGGCTTTGCAACACAAGAATTGCTCTATCACTTTTCTGTAATCAAAACATCAGTGAAAGCTAAGAGCTGGCATTTTCCCAGATGTGTCTCGAATCTAAGGTGCCTTGCATCTAAAAAGAGTTAGGAACCACTACACTATACCAATATCAAGGAATAATGCATTTTAATCACATACTACACTGAAAAGGATTCACATACATTGTCTTCAGTCTGATTTAACTCCCCCTCCTGGGTTCTTTCATTTAACAGTAGCAGAAGCAAAGAGTTATGAAAATCCTTGGTTGTAGTTACCCAGCTGCTCAAAAGAAATCCCCCTAAAAACAATGTCATTCCAGATTGACGTAAAACCACCCCCCCCCCCAACCTCTGGAAAACCCCAGAAAAGGGGGAGAGGGAAGGGGAGGGGAGAGGGAACTTGTTTTGGGCCAAACAAAACATTCCCTTTGATCTGAGATTATTAATAGCATTGATTCTATTTCTCTGTATAAAAAAATGCAGGTATTGCCTATATATATTGCATTATAGTGTGTTTACCTTTTCATAACATTTGGAATTCTATTTAGATAGAAAGATCAATTGAATACATTAATCATGCTGCTTCTGGGATTTAAAAATACTGAGTTTGAATGCAGTGTTTTATGCTGACTATTCTCACATGCTTTAATAAAGAAATGCGATTGCAGTGATTAGACGTGTGTCAAACTATACATGTACAGCATCAAAAGTAAATTATTCATTTTATAGAAAAAATGAAAATCTATTACAAGCGCTCATATTGAAGAGAATTCCAGTCCACCTGCAAAATAACAGCAATATATACCGAACTTCTTTGCTTGTTTCAAATTCATTCAAATTATACAATCCTTTACAGCCCTTTTTAGGCATTCTGCACTGTTTAATCTCCCCATTTAAAACTTCAACTTGAAGAAACACAATTTCAAAAAGCTGCATAATGAATATGAAATAATACAGTTAAGTGATAATATTAATAGAACAAATCTGTGGTCCAGTAATGGTCTCTCCTTCCTGAGG